CAGTCTAACACTGTATCATATGTCACGTAACCTCAAGAAAACTCCATTGTACATTTATGAGAAAATGAGAATGAAAAAGTCAAATAACATCTTAGTATTATGATGAAAGTAGTTTGACCTCGTGGACTCCTGTAAAAGTCTTGGGGATCCTAGGAGTCACCAGATTACACTCTGAGAACTGCTAATGTACTGTGTGTATCTGTCCATAATTTGTATAGATCATATTGATTAAAACACATGGGTGGTTAAAAGTGTGGTGCCCGGAACCATAGACTGGGTCACAATATTAGTGGTACGACTTTGAGCAAGTTACGAGTTTCCTTGTCTGTAAAACAGGGGTAATAGCTGTACATCTCATTACAGCGGGGATTGGTCGAATGGTGTACAGGTTTAGAATAGTGCCTGCAGCAAGTAATAGTGTGACACAAATTAGCTACACTAGTTTTTATGATTATATTTCTATATAAGAAGCTTGTGTACATATTTAAGATGATCTTCATATACAGACCTGAATGATGCACTTTTTGCTGAGTTTTTTGGCTCTACCCCTTCTCTAGAATGTCATCATGAGGTAGCAAGAGTCCCCAAGATTGAATTCCCAGAAATACTAATCCCAGGCTCTTCCCCAGATGGGCCACCTTCACCCTGGGTGTGCCAAGGACATAATGGTGACCATGAAGTCAGACGTGCCCATCAACCTGAAGAAGATGGGGATCAAGTGCAAGCTCTCCAAGATCATGTTTCCACTCCCTGCAGACCAGGTCTCTGACTGGGATGACCGCATGCACACGGTCAAGTGGGTAGACGTGCCCAGAACCATGCCTGGGACTTTGACTACAAAACAAAAAGTGAGTAGGGACTTCAAGCACAAATCTGACCTGGCCAGCCATTCCTGGATGCCTGCTGCTCTCAAGTTCAGTGTGTCATCACTTCCTTGTTTTATGGAAAAAAGAAGTTTCCGTTCCACTTGACCTTGATTTCAAAAGTGACAAACTGAACTTCTAAGCATGCCACCCACACTACACATATCACACAAACCACGCTTAATTGTTAGAGCTTTAGATTAAGTCTGGATATCGAATTGAGTAGGTCCTCCTACATTTTTCTTCTTCAAAAATGTCATGGCTAGTCTTTTAGTTTTTTCTCTTCTCCCCTAGGTGTTCAGTGTTCGATTAGCTATAATCTTTGGCTCATGACAGAATCTCATCTTTGGTCTTTCCCTTCTGATTTTCTTAATAACATTGTCTTATTTCTAGCTTCCTTTATTGTAAGAATGCAGTATACAATGCATATTAACATATAAAATATATGTTAATTGATTATTAATACTATCAGAAAGGCTTCCATTCAACAGTAGGCTATTGGTAGTTAAGTTTAGGGGAGTCCAAAGTTATCCACAGATTTTTTTGAGTGGGGGGGGGGGGTTGGTGCCTCTAACCGCTGCATTGTTCAAGGGTCAACTGTATTATGAAAATTGACGGAAACTTGATTGGAATTGGATTACACCTGTAAGTTCAGGAAGGATTGACAATTTTATAATTAATTCACCCTTTCCATTAACAAGGTTTATTGCCCTATTTAGTTTGATCTTTAAGATTTTTTTTACTATCATTTGATTTAATAGTATTAGAACTTTTCAGGTTTTTTATTTGTCCTTGAGTCAATTTTATTAAATTATTTTTCTAGGAGTTTGCCCTTCAACTAAGTTTTCATATGTATTTTCATAAAATTATTTCTAATATTTTCTTATTATACGTTTAAATCTGGAGGATCAATTGGTAATGTCCCCCATTTCATTTCTGATATTGGTTATTTGTATTTTTTCTTTGTTTTTCTTGATCAATCTCACTGAAGGTTTTTAAAATCTTTTCAAATAAATAACTTTTGGCTTTGTTGGTCCTTTCTGTTTCAGATTTATTTTCTATTTCATTAATATCTGTCCCCATCTTTATGATTTCCTTTCTTCTATCTTCTTTGGAGTCCATCTGACCCCAAAACTCATGTCTGTGCATCCCTAATGCCCTCAGTAATGTCTTGTTTCCTTTTCTGTTTATGAGTCATTTTATTTTGGCCTTAATCATTTATTCTGGAACTTGAGTTTGTGAGTTGGTGTTAATATGCATGAGTAGAATAAAATACTGTGTTATCCCCCCTATCCCCACTATCCCTATGAAAAGCTGGCTCTGCATCCCTGAGGACACGGCTACCTTTGTTACAGGTGATAGAGACGGATCCTGAGCCTGCTCACTCAGTACTAGAAGAACACTACCGAGAGCTGATGCTTCAGATCAGTGCCAATGTGAATTTCGCTTCATACCAGTGCCAAACGAGAGAAGTGCACTTTAAGGAAACGCTAGTTTACCAGACCCGAGTGTTTGAGTGAGTCATCAAAAGCCTCCCAACACTCATCAGAGGAGCTCTTTCATTTCATCGTGCACACACTCATTCACCAAACATTTATTCCGTGTCTACAGCGGTATATATCAGGCATCGTCTGTGTAGCATGCACCAGAGTCTTATTAAGCAATGGTTGGGTGCAATGAAACATTCAGACCCACAAAGCACTTGAGGTTCACACTTAAAATATAGGCCAGGAAACAGTCTATCAGGAGGGTGGCATCAGACGATCAGCTTCAGTGGGAATAGTCCTTGCAGCAGTCCACACCACCACCTAGGAACTTCTTGTTGGCCCCCCCCGGTGACAGCTCGACAATATCCACACTAGTGGGGATGGGGCCCATCTTAGCTTAGAAGCCCCATGACCAACAGAGGCCAAATTTTTCACAATCACTCCATCGGTGTAGCTTCCACGATCCCTGCAGGGGACATGCCCAGATACAACAGTCAGTGTACTCAGAAAATCCCAGAGCTGTAGCTTCCCTCCAGATAATCATAACTCCTCCCAGACCAGATGTGACTTACCAAGCATGGGTCATTTTTACTATAAACAATGTGCTTAATAAGACAGTTGACATTTCTTATTTATTTTCTAGGGAAACAGAGCTAGAAAGTTAGTTCAAAGGCAAAATTGTCCTTAGAAGGACAAAGGGTCCTTTCCACACTCAGACACAGGGATACAAGGATGCCATGGGTCTCGATTTCAAGTGGGGAGTGAGGGGATGGGTGAAAACAGGTGAATTGATGGTTGTTGCGGCATGGTGTATATAGGAAGAGTCCCTAAAGCAGACCAAGATATGGGAGAGACAGAGTGTTGGGTAAGGCTTCCCAGACAAAGTGGTGCCCCAGCTGAATTTTGGAGAACAAATAGGAGGTAGCCAGGTGAAGAAGTGAGAAAAAAAGGGCCCTTTAGGCAGAGAAAGCAACAAGTACAGAGACAAAGAGAGAAGGCCTGTGACTGATCTTTTGAGAATTACCAACAAAAATATAAGCCACTGACATTTCTACTTTGTAAAAATTAATAATTAACTTGCTCAACTCATTTTCATTTGCTGCACATAAAGTGTCCTCTCAAATTATTATAGAACCCAAAGATATAAGGCAGAAGTGGGGTCTTCTGCTGATGCCCATTTCACTTAAAGCAAGATCAGCAAACTGAGTCCCAGGGACCAAATCCAGCCAGCCACTTGTTTTTGTAAATAGAGTCTGTTGGCACACAGCGATGCCCATTTGTTTCTGTTTTTTGTTTGTTTGTTTGTTTTTAGCTGAGCCATCCTGCTACCTGTTGGCAGCTCAGCGGCTGCTCAGCTCGGGCCGGGCATCGAACCGCTGTTGCTCAGAGCTCAAACTCTTGAACGAGCTCTTAACCAACTGAGCCACTCGGCCGGCCCTCCCATTTGTTTCTGTATTGTCAGTGGCTGCGTCGGCTCTGCAGACGCAGACAGGGTAGTTGCTCCAGAGACCTACGAGTATGGCACACCAAGCCAGAAAAATCTCACTACCTGGCCCTTTACAAAACAGTTTGCGCTCCCGTGACCTAAACCAAGAATTCTTTCTATGAAAACTATGCCACTAAGATTCCTCCACTTCATAAAAATTCTCTTTAGGATGAAGACCACTACTAATAAATTCACACAAGAAATACAAGCCCCTGAGGCCAAAGCACTTGACTTCAGGCATACCTGCATGATCTGCCTGGATGGGATAATGGAGATCTAATACCCAAATCCCACCCTAGACCTACTCCCCCGCAAAAAACCCACTTTTACTACTCCCCTAAAACCAAGAAGAGCATGTGTGTTTCTTTCTCTTATACAATCATTTTCTTGTATCAATGCCTCATGTTCCTGCTGTCAACGTCTATGATCAAGTTTAATAGTGATTCCAGATAAAGCTTCTATTGCCCAGTTCTTGTCTTAGAGCAGGGAAACGAGGCAGGAAAAGGCTCTGCTGACTCAGAATTCTACACAAGTCTGTGTCTCAGCCAGTGAAGGCCTCTCAGAAATGGGTCAGATGGTTTCTGATGACAGGAATATTGTTTCTGGTGGGAAGTGATTCAGGAAGAGAGAGGCTATGAATTTGCACCCCAGGAAGGTACTGTCATGTGAAATAGATTTTTGTTTCCTCCTCCATAGGAATTTCTCAGGATGACAGTGATACATGCTGAGAGCTCACTGCATAGGGTACCAGTGATATATAAGATTTTTCGAAGTGCTGAATCTTTGGATATTTTTACTTTTAATAGCAATATATATATTGTATGTGTTTTAAAAGGAAATAGAGTTGGTACAATTTCAGATAACATTGCTTAAAACTTGCCTTTTGAAGAAATATTTAAGAAACAAAGTGACTTGACTTAAAGAAAAAAGTTAAGAAATAGTATAAAAGATGTGCAGGCAGGAAAAAAATCATCTGTAGCACATTTCTCAAACCCGTTCCCTGATCGGTTTGCAGGTTTGAACTGATTAATTCAGGAAATGTGCAGCTGGAATTCAGCTGGATCTCAGAAGAGATGGCAAAGGCTGTCAGCTTCGCCATGCCGGATAACCAAGGTAAATGCGATGATAGGTAAAACCCAGGGTTTGAGCTTGGTCCCCTATTAGAAGACCTTTGTTCATGGAGAAGCGAGCACTGCTCCAGCGGCCCCCCCAAGTAACCAAGGAGAAGCAGAACAGAGGCCTCCTGCCGCCTGCAGAGCCAAATGGGCCTGAGAAAACTGAAAAGCTGGCCCCTGTCCTCCTGCAGCCTGGACCCTGGCCCCCCATCAGGCCAGCACTCCCTCACACCCTTAGAAATCTTTTCTTTTAGATTTTAACCTTCTAGGAGATTACAGACCCTTAGAGTAAATGATGAAAGCTATGAACTGTATCTCCCAGGAAAATATCCACCATTCCCAATGTGCAGGTGATACATGTGAAGCATTCAACAAGAGGCCCACGAGCCAGCCAAGTGGCACATTGGTTAGGAGTTGGCTTAGGATGCCAGCTCTGAGCAGCAGGACCCCGGTTTGGATCCCACATTAGCGCCCTCTATAGCTAAGATGGTGAACAATAGCTCGACCTGGAGCTGGGCTGCCGTGAGTCACCGGTGAAGGCATAGGCTGCAGTAGGGCTAACTGGCAGCAGGCATGAGCTGCCGTGAGCCGCTGTGAGCGGCTGTCCAATGGCCGCAGAGCAACTACCCCAGCCGAGAAGAACGCAATGATAATACCAACATGGGCCAGTGAAGCAACGTCCTCCACAACTAGACTGAAGAACAAAAGGACAGCAACTTGTCTTGTTTCCCTCCCCCAATTTCCCAATGAAATCTTTTTACAAAAAGGGAGGGGGGCAGCACTTGGTAGGCAAATATTCATTACTCCTGCTTCACTTTTGGAGATTCCCAGACCTTCTGAATGGGCCCTTATTCATTGTCCTCCCCACCCCAGATTGTGCACACCTACTTTAAAACAGTAATTCTCCAAAAATGATGTTCACAGCCCATTATTTTTGAGGCAGAAGACCCACATTCATTTACTTGACTCACTCCCTTAAGCCAAAAGGAAACAAATTTGAAAACTCGGAAAAAAAAACAAACACAAGAAAACTTGATGGAAGTAATAGAAGTACTTTTCATGAGTACCTGTGAGAGCTATGAGTAAATTCCTTATCCCTAATGCCCAAAGTCAAGTATATCTGCTAGAAGTAGGGGGCTCACAGACCCCACAGAGGGTCCATAAGGACCTGTGAGTGGGCTGTCATGTCCTTGTCCTCCCACTGCAAATGCAGAATATCACTGGCTCTCTGTCTTGCCCACAGGTTTCTCTCATAAAGATCAGCTTAGCCAGGGCACGCTGCCGACAGGCAGTACCCTGGACAGCGCCATGGACCACTGGAGCGAAACTCCCCCACTGTCCTTCTCTGTGGAGCCTGCCTCAGGCATTGTGCCCGTGGGGAAGACTCAGAAGATCAAAGTGAAATTCTCCCCACTGGAGGTGGGAGACTTCGAGAACAATCTTTTCTGCCAGTAAGGAGATGTGCTCCCCAGAACAAAGCTCTGCAGCCCCCATCCCTCTTCTGTCTCACCACTACCACCATTCTTTCCAACCCTAGACCCCTCCACAGCCTTAAATTGCCACCTTCCCCTTTGGGAAGATTCAAAGGGGCCAGCCTTTGGAGAACAAGGGGAGTTTGGTCTTTTGTATTGCTCATCAGTCCTGTCCAGACTCTTCCTCTGGCCCACCTCGCCCTTCCCGGCCACATACAAAAGTCCAACTGGGGAACAAAATGGTTGACAGCCAGGTGGGTTCCAGTCCTGCGACAAGCATGAACTTGGGAAGGCTTTCTCATGCCTTCACTGAGACTAGGTCTCCTTAACTGTGAAAACGCAAAACGCAATACCCACCTTATAGAGTTGTGAACACAGAATAAGGTAATTCAGTGAAGCTTAGAACAGCGCTTGGCACACAGTAAACACAACCAACATTAGGTGGTAGACCTGGTGCATAATAAGCAAGGAATAGATGGGGCCCAGACTCCATTTGAGAAAAGCCAACCCAATAACCCCTGGCAATGAAAGTCCCTGATGTGGTACCATGCACAGGAGAGCTCCATGGAGAATGCCCACCTTACAGAAAAATGCCATGAACCAGGGCCTAGGGTGGCAGAGCCATAAGAGCCTACTATAAGCACTGCAGTCACATGGCAGGGACCCTTCCCACACCCGGGCTACCTAAGCTAGGAGCTGGTGCTGGAAGTCTGCTCACATCCAGTTTACATTCTCCTAGGAACTCAGGATACATTTTAAAGATTTCTACATCACTTTTCATATCCCACTAGGTGCCTATGAGAGGGCCCAGAGGGTAAACCTCTGTGCTCATTTGACAGCAGAGAGATTTTTCTTAGCGCTGCTGGAGGAAATAACTTGAGGCCATATTTAGGTACACAGGAGGAACCAGAATTTAAGCTCCTCATACTCAGCGCATTCATGCACTCAACAGTTGGTTAATGAACATCTACTATGTGTCATGTACTATTCAAAGCATTGAAGTTATGTTGTTGACCAAGACAGACCCAGCCTCTGCTCTCATGGAGCTCATATTCTGCTGGATATAATATTCATTTCCAACCAACTAAGAAAGCAACAATTGATTAAAACTAAAAAAGTAAGTAAAAATAACCTTATCCTCTCAGGATTCCCAACCTGCCACCTGGAGAGCAAGGCCCAGTCCTGTCAGCAAAAGGGCGGAGTTTCTTGCCCATCTGCCATTTTGACCTGAAAGACTCGGATTACATCAGCGGTCATCGGCGCAACCCAGATCTCCGAGGGCCTGGTGGTGGGGCTCTGAATCCAGACACCCGGGTGATTGAGTTCACCAGCGTGGGCATAGGAGGGAAGAATCTCCGGTGAGTTGCTTAGGTTTGCGTTGGTTGACTTCATATCATTCAACCCTTCTAGAGAATTCAGGGGAAGAATTCCAAGAAGCGAGCTAGATGGGTTCCTAGAAGCAGGCTTGACATCCTGGGGTTTGACTTAAGAGAACTGCTACAATAAGGAAGCTGAATTCTGTCTCCTTGGTTTTGACACTGGGGGCAATTTAAAAGGCATAAAAATAGAATCCCTGACCATCAACTTGACCACAGAGGATCACTGGGACAGAAGGGTCCTTGGCATCATTATTACTCCAAAAAATCCAGTACTCCAGCCATTCTTTGGATCCCCAAGTGAGATGCAGTTTTCATGTCTACAGTAACCAAGTATCTGGAACAGTTCTGATTCCCACGTAGGAGAACTGTGCTAGGGCAGGTCCTCAACCCTCTTACTCTCTGCTTTCAATTCTTCCCCCTTGGCCAGGACTTTTACAATCCTGAACCCGACCACTACCATCTACTCCTTCTGCTGGATCTCTGAAGAAACTGAAAGTCTCCAGAATCCTCCAGCCTTCACATGCCTTACAAAGAAAGGCTTCATCCACCCAGAAAAGAAAGCCGAGGTATGTGTGTGTGAATGAGGACCACTCGACCCAAGGCCTTCATCATTCTATCCATCTCTGCATAGCAAGTGCTCTAGGCCAGAGGTAGAGTTAGGGAGAACAGCCTAAGGGTGCATCCATCAGCAAGTATTTCCTGAGTGGCTCCTACATACGTTAGGCCATCCTCGAGGACAGGACAGACCCGAGCTCTTATGGTTGGCCATGAAGAAACAGATCTCTAGTATCTGAAGTTTAAAAAGCTGAGCTTATTAAGGTAGGAAAGAGGTGCTTGACACCACTGCCTGGGGCCTCTAGGAGTCTTAAAGTAACATGAAGTAGAGTGTTATTTTTGTCCAAGGGACTGACGGCAGTGAGAGGACATAGATGTTTTTACTTGGTCAGGTCAAAAGGCAAAACCGAACAGTAGAGCTATGTCCCATGTCCTACTGTTTACTCAGGGATATAGGTTAGGGGGTCGGACTTAAATATGAACTTGCTGGCCACAACAGATCTGCAGGCCCATGTCCTGTAACACCTGCAGAGATCTCAGAGGCAGAAATGAATCCATGAAACAGAAATTACAAATTCAGATGCTTTCAGGAAGGTCATGCAAAGGAATAAAGCAGGCCTAAGGGACAATGACAGGGACTGCTGGACACCAGAGCTGGCTGGACACTGTGCTCTTGCAGATGACCACCACACAGACAAGTGGACCCAGGGTTGCCAACTCTCCCATACTTTTCAGGAAAAGTCAAAATTCCAAATTTCTATCTGAATCTCTCCATTTCTACATGCCATCTAAAGCCATCACGTGGAATATTATAGCCTAGCCAACAGAGGCTGTGGATGGGGTAGACCCCCCCTTAGAAAGACCTGTGGGCAAACAGACATCGATGTTGCTGGAACAGCCAAACTTATATGCCCTTTAGAGAGGGTAGAAAGGTAGTGACGACCTGGTAATATCAGCCATCGTAACCCCAGTGCTGACAAGCCTCTAAGAGCACATAGAGAAAGGAACAGAAGTGCCTCTTACCACTCTATTCCAAACTGTCTTCTTAGATTGTCTTCCAGTTCACGCCTTCCCATCTGGACATCACAGAAGCATTCTGGAGTTTCTTAATCCCTGAACACAATATCACAGTCCCTTTCCTGCTGGTAGGCAAAGCCTCTGACCCACTCATCATTCTGAACAAGTCACACCTCAACTTCAGTTGTCTCCTCATTGGTAAGGCTGGCCTGTTGGTTTATATTTAGAGTTGGCATGATATTTAGGGGAGGGGAGTGGGACGAACCCAGCAATGAGCTCCAGGAGCAGACTTGGGTGGGGAATTTTGTCTGGTGCCATTTAGAATCATGTAAGAAGGCCTTTCTCACTGGTCACAAAATCACAAAATATTTACTCTCAATCTAATTTCCATCAAGCATCTTCTAAACCCACATACTAATAACTGAAGGAAATTTAGGAGCCTTGCTACAGATTCTACTTGGAAGATTCCTTTAGGGCCTGGACTATCTTCATTTCCAGAGCCTCATGTCAGCCCCATCCTACTTGCTTGTGCCCCCCGATTATGGGCTGTATTGGTTTGCTTCTTCATCTGTGCCACAGTGGTCAGATTTCTCTGCCATTTTCTCATGTATTTATTAGGTTCAATGAATATTATCGAACCCCTTTTATTACGTAGGCACTCTTCTGTGAGCTGGGAATGCACTGGATAAAACCATAGTTCCTACACTCGTGGTGCTTACATTCCAGGAATTGGAAGCAGACTACCAAAAAATTAAAAAGCAAAATATAGAGCATGTCAGATGTTGATAAGTGTCCTAGAGAAGAATAAAGCAAGGTAGAGGGGATACACAATGCCACTTGACAGTGGGAAGGTGACATTTGAGCAGAGACATGAAAGAATAAAGGAAGTTTATTGCCAGGTCTCTTATAACCCTATGAATCTGTCAGATGGATGTGGTGTGTGTGTGTGTGTGTGTGTGTAAAATACAACTAAAGCCAGAGGATATTTTAGTAATTAATTCAGTTTTTATTTATAAAAGTAATATTTTATAATAAACCAATCAATGTGGTGTTGTATAAGGAAAACTAATAATCTCTCCCTACCCATCCTATCTCATCCTTCCCTTTACATCAAAAACAAACAGTAACAGTTTGATTTGTATTATTTCCATACATATCTTACATTGATACATATAAGGAGGCAGGGGAAGAGTATGGTGCTTAGTAAGGTTCTGAACAAATGAGAAATGTATCATAAGAGTAACAACAGCAAGACAAAAAGAATTTAATCTAGGAATGTGAGGGTGGTACATTTAAATACAATCATTATATTGGGTTGTCAGAAAAGTCATGATGCATTTTTGCAACGAAAAATAGAAAAAATACGTCATGACTTTTCCAATAACCCAATAGTAACAGATTAAAGAACAAACATGTAATCATTAATACATACTGAAGTCATTGCTAAAATTTAACAGACATTCTTGATAAAAACTCTAATAGGGAATGAGGAGTAAAGGAAAGCACTTGAATAAAGAAGATTAACCAAAATCAAGAGGCAAATGTTATCTTGTAATGAACCACTAAAACCACATCAATTAAAATCAGGAATTAGACAAAGAGGTTCATTATCACCATTATTATTGAACACTTTCTTAGTGACTTTAGCAAATATAATAAAACAAGAAAATTAAATAATGGGCATAAATTTTGGGGGGAAGAGACAAAAGTATCTCATTTGGCTATTGCTGATTACTTCATACATTAAAAAGTTCAAGAGGCTCTAGAGAAAAGCAAAACAAACTGCTAGAATCAATAAGATGATTTAGTAAGTGGCTGGATGCAAGACAAGTATGCAAAAAACCAATACTTTCTCTTTATTTTAGTGGTAAGTGCCTAGAAACAGAAACAAAAAAATTCTACTCAGTATTGGAAAAACCTATATAATATCTAAGGATAAACATAACAAGAAAAGCACAGGACCAATATGAACTAAACTATAAAATCTTATTAAAATGCCCCCAAACAAGATCTGAATAGTTGTCAATTCTCCCAAAAGTTCCAACTAGAATCCCAGCAAGAGTGGCCAGATAAAATACAGACAGATGCACAGTTAAATTTGCATTTCAGATAACAGTGAACAATTTTTAGTATAAGTGTGTCAGCATAAGTAGGTCCCATGCAATATTTGAGACATACTTCTACCAAAAAATTATTTGCTGACTCTGGTAACCTTAATTCCAAAAGGATTGAGGGGGTGGGGGGAGAATTGGATGAAAGATGCAAAAGTTTATGTGGGAAAATAAATGCTCTATAATAGTCAAGGAAAGTAAGAAAAAGCAAACTAGGGATAGGAGATGGATTAGACATGGCCCTGTCAGGACATTCATGACATACCCAAGGTCTAATTCAAAGAGTTCAATGCAAAGATTGTTTCCAAAGATATGGGCAGAGTTAAGGGGCCTACCAGGGAGGGTAAAGCCCCCATTAACAAAAGCAGGAAGGCATTGGGTCTGAAGGAACAAGGAGGAAAAATGGTGTTGCCAGAATTCCAGGAGAGCTGTGACTGAGGCAGAGGAGCCACCTCCCAGGAGCAGGCAATTGATGGAGTCAAGTCAAGAAGTATGAGGTGGAATCCCCCCCAGGGGACAAAGCTCACTTGTAGAGAAAAAGGAAGGAAGAGAGGTAGTCAATGGCTGAGGAGCTTGAAAGAGGAGAGAAAAAAAGTTGGAGAATCTCTTCTAAGGCTTCCTCTTGCTTGTGGAGCGGTGTCTGCTGAGGTACTTCAGGAACAGGCATGAGCCTCCACTGAGGGCTGGTGTTTCCTCCTCAGGCAGAGAAGCCAGGGAGACCGTGGAGATCATCAACAGGGAGGAGCAGGGCTTCAATTTCGCCTTCCAGGACAACTCCCGATATTCTGAAGGTTTCAGTGACAGCCTGGTCGTATGTCCCATGGAAGGCTGGCTCCCACCACGGTCCAGGTGAGGAAAAAGAAAGCCCCCCAGGACTGCACCCTCCCAACATGGCAGGAGTCCCAGGCCTGCCAGCCAGGAGAATCACTTTCCCTTAGAGTGCCTCTTTTATAGCCTTCCAACTCTAAAATTTTATTAGATATTAACAATTCCATCCCTGTTGTTTATTTTCCTAATGAATTGGGGAGTATTGAGAGTTTTAAGCCCTGTTTTCAACATTTGCTCTTATATTTATATTATTTTCCTTACTAACTATTGTATTTGTGACTCCATAAAGCACTGTCCTGCCTTGCCTTGCAAATCTTCAAAATTCATCATAATTTGGAGCTTTGATGTCTTTCTTAAGTGTATCTGCTAATCCATCGAACTCATATTCTTAGCAGGTCTTAACAGTTGGCCTCGTCAGCTAATCTGCTGTCTTCTTCCCCAACCAGGTTACCAATTGATATTTTCTTAACCCCAAAGAAAGAAGGAGATGTGAACTTTAATTTGATCTGCAATGTGAAAAACAAAGCCTACCCTTTGACCTTAAATATCAAGACTGAGGGCTACAGTATGAATGCAGAAATCAAGTGCAAAGACAGGACTGGCTCAATCACTCTCTTGACTCCCAACCAGACCACCACTGTCAACTTCTATGAGGTAAAGCTGTGAGAGAGGCTTGCTCTTTTTTTGTTTCCACACTGGCTGGGAAAAGCAGAACTAGTGAATATTAGCTGAATCTCTCTGTTTCAAATGCCAGGGAGACCAGGAGAACAGAAACATGCCAAGAGCAGCTCCACTTTCGGAATGTATACAGCTTTGATGTGAAAGCTTTTATTTTCTTTTTCATGGGGTGGACAGATAGTAAGGAAGGAGAAGAATGTTTGTGTTAAACATACAGGAAATGGATGTTTGGCTACCAAGGGAAGTATAAGAATTAAATTGCAGTCTCACTCTTCAGATATGAGAGGTCCCCAATACTTAGTAGCTCTTGATGGAATATGTGACCACATTAATCTAATGATATTCAATTCACAAACATCATCTGCCATTCCTATTTCCCAAAAGATAATTTCCCCCAACATGTTACATATCCTGATCCCGGAAAAGGGTGCCATGTTTTGCATTCACTCAACATGCTGCTCTGTTCTCTGTCTCTCAGGTGGAGTTGAATGAATGTGTCCAGTGTGAATTCACCTTTATCAATGCTGGAAAGTTCAACTTCAGCTTCCATGCAGAGCTATCTGGCCCCAAAGCACTGCTGCAGTACTTAGAATTTTCACCCACTGGTGGCAGTGTGGATGTGGGACAGAGTGCACCTGCCTCCCTGTCTTTCCAACCATTTAAAAAGTGTGTCTTGAAGGGCCTGGAACTCAGAATCAAGGTGAGATCACTTAACATTGTCCAACACTGAAAGCATTCACGTTCTATCTTAAGAGATTAATTCTCCTGTGTGTTCCTGGTATTCACCCTACCAGAGACTCCTGGAGAGCGGTTGTGTTGGAGGTAGTCTCACAATCTCTATTGTAACAGCCTCAACCATGGTTGTGGTGCCTGGTGAGCAACTCAATTGAAAAGCAGTT